CGCCCAAAGCTTTTTGAAACATGCAACTTCGAGTGGCTCCTAGTTTCTCTCAGATTCTAAACTTCTTGTTAGCTAACGTATCCTATTACTACACGCCATGAGTGTCCTATGTGCAGACCTGCCACAGGTCCTTCTTTTGGTATGTCAATATGGCACTTGAAGAATTCACCTGCAGTCATGGGGGTTCAAGGTGGAATACCAGCCACTCAGGTCAGTAGATTTAGTATGATTTAACTTACCATTTGTCTCCTTATATATTGATGATAATACACGTCTACCTCTTGGATTCACAATGGCTTAATGAATGGGTATTTAGTCATGCGCCATGCAAATACTTGTCCACCAAAGTTTGAAGTTTGAATAAATGATACAATTTATGGAGGTCTAAATACACAACGTTATAAAAAATCAGCGTATGAGCTTGCATGAGACAAACCTAAATATTAGCACAGACTAAATAAAAACAGCAAGACGTTTCAACATGTAAAAAAGTTGCAGAAACCCAGAGAGGAAAGAAAGCATGAGTTGGTACAGTCCAGACTGACTGTAACTTGAATAATCACCTAACTTTTATGTCGTCACTTTCCAAAATAATTTCGGGCAGTTGATATTTTTTATTAAATGGAGTTCGCCCAGTACGTCTGTCGTATATAAGTTCAAGAGGGGCTGCATGATCACCATATATATGAGTGTGTTTGAGTAATCATTAACAAGTCGGCAGTTTATTAAGATGGGCCATGTGAAGGTAAACATGATGAATTTGCGTTGAAAATGTTATCTTCCTATTCCAGGAAGTTTGAATCATTTCCGAATCATTTTATGCGATTTGCAAAAAAAATATTGGCGGGACCAAACAACTCAGTCCACATCTCACGCTTTGGGGGATTGGCCATCGTGTCTTTACTCACTTGTATTTAACCTCCTTACTTGACTCTATTCCGGTAGTGACTATCTGAGACTATTTACATATTTGGTTGGTGTGTGTATGTGTGTGTATGTGTGTGTGTGTGTGTGTGTGTGTGTGTGTGTGTGTGTGTGTGAGAGAGAGAGAGAGAGAGAGAGAGAGAGAGAGAGAGTGTGTGTGTGCGTGTCACGGTGTGCGTGCGTGCGTGTGTCCTCTAACTTATCTAATACGGTTTGTTTACTAGTATTTCCACTTTCCCCGAATCTCCAAGCAGAGGTTCAGTGGTTGAATTGAAAGATCGTATTGCTTTCCGACTACCAGGTTTCTTTTACAGTCTAGGATTAGGGGTCAAAGAAGATGAGCAATACAAAGTCATTATAACCTGTTGTCTCAACATCTGCTTGGAGGTTAACTTTTCTACTGATGCACTTGTCAATGTCAATGTTACCGCGGCCATTTTTCTGTTTAGATGTTATGGGGGAGGGGGGCAAAGGGCTTTAGTTTAACCCTTTAAGACTCACGAGCAATCTACCTCATTATTTTCCAATGAATAAAAGAGAAACTTTAAATTTAAGGCAGCTTCCTTGATCACCATGTGTGAAATAGCTGACCGATGTGTGTGTAAAATTCATATCATATCATAATAAATAAGCACTGTCATGTTACTAAGTTGTATAGGTAACCTTCCTCTTTCTGTGTGCTTTGGAGGTGTGCGCGGGGGAGGGGGGCAACCTTGATTACTTCTGTTTGCTCCTCAAATCATTATCATTTTATCAAAAGCACCGGGCCCTTTCTCCTGTGTCTAACTCACTTCTCTCATACAAGGCTCTCGATCAGGCCAGGAAATACAGAAAAACAGCGATAACTCAAAATTAAGAATATTCCACGTTCTAAACAAATTTGTAGTTGTTGCTGCTGTAACCGTTGTTGTCAATTTTGTAAATAATAATGGTTTCCGTATCTCTGGCCTCATTCAAATCCCGCCTATGTGCTGTCTGCTATCCTGAACCCAAATAAAGATATCTTGCAAAATAGAATTGAAGCCACACATTTGTAATTTATTATTGGATGTTTCAAAACGATACATTTCTGAAGATCTTTTATGCCGTGGTATTGGTGCCATGTTGGTCGAGGCATCTTACTTATACATGTGTACACCTACAATGATTGTGTTCTTTGAATGGCAACATGCTTTATGAACTGAATGACAGTTGATGTTAAAATGAAACTGACATGCTGATGTGGTGGAAAAACAGTCAATGAAAACAAACATTAATATACATTGGCGTCTTCCTTAGATGTTACCGGAGGGTTCAATGTGCACGAACATGTAGTAGCTTCATTATTACCTACACACTATTTCGATAAAAGAGCAAGTATGATAAAATTGTATCTTAAATCATGACGATCAGAGTTGACAAAACCCGGAGACATTTTGGTGGGATAGTAGAGGTCGTGTTGCACGGGAAAATTGCAGTATAGTGGGTAATTGCATCGTATGGATTAGATGTTTGTTTTTGGGAAAAACTTTAGGTCGAACAGGTTTGATGTTCAATTGGTTGGAACTGTGCAGGTATGTTTGTTTCTACCCGCAGTTACCCTGCACTGGTCCTGTAGTAAAATATTGTTTCCTAACTTGTCATACAAAGTGCAAAAAAATCTGCAATGCAACAAACAGAAGATGGTTCCAGAAACACAATAAAGTGCTCAGTTCAGGTGTCTCCTAGGAGATAAACAATACTGATCGCCAGGTGCCTACTTGATCTAAAACAAGGTATTAAAATAGCACTTAGTATATGATTAAAGAGTTGTAGCTCTGTGATGAGAACCATTCTGATGGGTCCAATCATTTTACAACAAACCGGACGGATGTTTCACACTTTAACTCCAACACAACGTACTTCTCTTGTCGGTAGTACATTAACCAAATTAAATATAAAAAAACGACAGTCTGTACTCTGTAAAAATCAGTTTGACTTCCAACTGAAGACAGATGTTATACACTGCATAATTACAGGACTGTGACTGTCATTTATCATACCTATACCTTGCAAGCCGCACAGCAGCACACCTTAACATTAAAAATCTTAATCATTGTGAATTCTTTAAAAAGCATTGAAGGTAACCTACCAAAAACAATGAAGTTTACCTACCAAAGCTAAACAATGTGTAGATGTTAAACTTTTTTTCATCACAAGGTCCTTACTTGTTCTTAACTTTATGCTTATCGTTTCGTATAATAGCGCAGCTCAGATTATCTTAATCTTTGTGATGGTAAAATTTGTAAAAAGGCATTGGAGGTAAACCACTAGTATGGTTACCAGACCTATTCTAGCTCCCGAGTCCTACATCCTATCCTCAAATAGAGAGGATGTAATGTAGGAGCCGGGTCTAGAATAGGTCTGGTAACCAGGCTAGTGAACCACCAACGCTGAACAATATGTAGATGTCAACTAATTGTTCTTTTTTTTCATCACAAGGTCCTTACTTGTTGCAACTATATTCTTATCGTTTCTTAATAGCGCAGCTTAAAACTTAATCTTTGTGATGGTACAATTTCAATAGCATTGGAGGCGTCTTCATGTTATTGACGTACCAATGCTTACTGATGTTACATGTTGAAATTGCTTTTTCATCACGAGACCCTTACTTATTGTGACTATATGCTTATCGTTTCCTAATAGCATAGCTTAAAAATTGTGATGGCAATATTGAATAGCTGTTGGAGGCAAACCACCAAAGCTGATCAATTTGTAGTTGTTTTCATCATCACAAAGTCCTTACTTGATTTGAATATATGCCTAACGTTTTCTTGATGTTAGTGACCTACCGATGGTATTTAACCAAATGTAATTGTGAGATGTTGTTTTCTCATCACAAGTTTTTTTTTTTTACTTTTCTGGCAAATGGAATGTGCTTATCGTTTCTTGAAAATCTTCATCTTTGTAATGTTACAATTTCCAAAAAGCATTGGGGGTTTTCTTGATGTTAGTGACACACCAAATGCTATTCAACCAATGATGAGATGCTGTTTTCTTATCGCAAGTTTCTTACTTTTCTGACAAATTGAATGTGCTTATCGTTTCTTAAATCTTTATCTTAGTTTTGTGATGTTACAATTTCCAAAAATCATTTGGGGTTTTCTTGATGTTAGTGACCTACCGATGGTATTTAACCAAATGTAATTGTAAGATGTTGTTTTCTCATCACAAGTTTCTTACTTTTTTGACAAATTGAATGTGCTTATCGTTTCTTAAATCTTTATCTTTGTGATGTTACAATTTCCAATAAGCATTGGGGGTTTTCTTGATGTTAGTGACACACCAAATGCTATTTAACCAAAGGTGAGATGTTGTTTTCTTATCGCACGTTTGTTACTTTTTTCTGAAAAAAATTGAATGTGCTGATCGTTTCTTAAATCTTAATCTTTGTGATGGTACAGTTTTGACAAAGCAGTGGATGTTTTCTTGATGTTAGTTACCTGTCAATAATAACCGATGTTAAACAGTTGTTTCCTCATCACAAGGTAGTTACTTGTTTCGGACTATATGCCTATCGTTTCTTATAATGACACAGCTTTAAACTTTCCACCCTAAAAGAAAGACTCACCGATAACAGCGATAGCACACATTGTGTTGCCGGAAAACTATTATAAAAGCCGTACTGCTCAAGTCCCCAAGTTAAGTTTAGAAATTTGAAGTGTATATTGAAATTTCCTTTGCTGAGGTATTAAGATCCAGTTGTCGGTTTTGATTGCTACATTTAATAATAACACTAAAACACCAAAGGGGCACATTAGAGGACGAATGTTGATATCAGTATGGTTAACAAAGGTTCAAATAGCTTGGATTGATGAGCTATGTAATAAACAGTACTTGCAACCTAAAAAATGTATAAAACCAATAGTTTTCTAGTTTGGACATGTATTCTAGCAATCCTAGTTTTACCAGAGATAACATAAACTTCCCCAGTTTTCAAAAAGGGTAGTATGAACTTCAGTACACTTGGTATGTAGAAAGGCACCAGGGCTATACTTGCATAGTATTTGCAGTTTCAAAGCCAGTTGCACAAGGTTTCAACCCCAAAGCAACTCTCTATAGTGTTATAACCCGCCAAGTAATCTTTGTCTATTTCTATAAAGTTGAATAAAGATGCAGAAGTTGATTATAATAATGACAAGGCCTAGAAACATACAGATGCTGATGAAAACGGTGCAGAGCTGGTAAAGCCTAGATGATGTTGACTCGGTTTCGGTAGTGGACGATGCATCTGCGTATTCACCTGGTCCCCTTCCCTCTAGACTGAGTGGAGTGTGGAGAAAATTGTCTTTTAAAATTGAAGAATACCACTGAAATCATTGACAAACTCTTTAAAAATGCAATAGCACAATACAACAGGGGGAGTGAGGAAAGTTGATAAAAATACCATATAAACAATTTCTTAAAGCTACATTATGTAAGCTTTTCATTATTTCAAACATTGTTGTTTTACACCTTTTTTTGCGTGACATTTGGGGAGTAAAAGGATCACAAAGCTACCGAAGATACCCGAACAAAATCCACTGTTTGTTACTCCGTGAAGGAGGTCAGGACCCTCGGACGGAGTATTGTGAGGAGCTGTTTTTTCGTGTTCGCAGCTAGAACACGGGGTTCTCTTTGTGTAATCGGCATACAATTTTATACGCCGTCTGCGGGCATGCCCGTGTTGATGCACGAATGTGTATTTTTGCCTATGCTGTTTTCGCGGTCAATGCAATATTACAGATGCACCCCTACAATTATGAGGCAAATTGGAATGGTCCAGAAAAAACCTTTGTTTGGAATAGCGGGGGGGGGGGTACGTCTTCATGCAGATGTACGGAGGGGTCGATAAGTAGTACCAGATGTTTCGTCCCCATGTATATAAAGTGAGTTTGGGCTCCCTAGCGGCTTCCTCTGGAACTGCAGGGCTATCTGTTTGAAAATATTCAAAAGAGGATAACTCAAGAACCGGTGGACGGATCGTCGTGATTTTTGGTATGTAGGTAGCTTACGTGATGCTTGATATAGTTATATGACAATTATGCAAATATGGATGTAATTTACATAATTTATGGGGAAATTCTATAAATCAGCTGTATTGTACGATAGGACTATTAAATCTTGTGAGATTGGTAACTGAGAACGAGAGAAACACAGGCAGATATTAATTATGTAAATGAAGAATGTATTTGCATAATTAATGAGTAAATGTTATGATTCTGTAATGACAAATGCCAGGAATTTCATACTTGTTCATATTTGAAAGTGCAGTGCAGGTGAACATCATTAAACAAAATGTATTCAAATCAGGACCTCATTTGCATAATTTATGAGGAAATGCTACAATTGCATTGTTTGCCAACATAAGACTGTCTTTTGGTTGAGAATATAATAACCTGATATAATTCATGAAAATAAGGAACCTATTTGTTAAATAAAAGGGGAGGGGGCTCTATATTTGTCAGTCATAAAGATGAACATCATTTGGCGAAGGTATGAGATCGGGGAACTCTAGTTTGTAATGTGGTGTGCCACTATGTCCGTGGTGCACGTCTTTTTTTTACCCTTTTAGGCTAGCAGTTTTGATATTGAAATAAATGCATATTTTTTAAACATCCCTATAATGCCGTTGAGATGTTTTCGCCCGGGTGCTGGCCGCAACTGTGGCTTCTTGTATACATTCAAATGCTCTAAAAAAAGCGGGCCTGGCACAACTTATTCTAGCGCTGCGCCGAGTCGCAGGAAAAGCGAAACAGCGTTGTAACATGTTGAAAGTTATTGAAAAAGACAATACAGATGAGAAAATTTCAATCTTGATTTGTAAAACAAATGCACAAAAAAATGCACACATTACAACTTGTACAACTTTAAGACTAATGATATATGCCAGAAGGGTAAATGAATTTTTGTGGACCATTTATACAAGGTTTGCCCGTTATAATATTAGGGCACAGGGTACATTGTTAGTAGGATTGATATCAAAATATCCCCAAATCATAAACAAGTGTGATGGGGGCATACAGCAAAGTTAAGTAAATGAAGTCATTAAGGTATATGCAAATGTCATCCTCATATCAAATTTAATGCCATTCGGTTTCGTGGCAGGGCCGTCGAGCCTAAAATATTCAATTAAGAACAAAATTAACTGATTAATGCCATAATATTGGCTGAAAAAAGCTTACCTCGGTAAAATTTCTCGCAGATGAATGGATGTTCTGGTCCAAAGCACGGTATGTCGTTCCACTTGTTGTCCCATCCCGGGCCATAAAACATAATACAGTCCTCCTGACCTCCGGTGTCGCTCGGTTCTCCCGGGTACCAAGCCTGGAAGGTCAGCGGGGTCCCGTCGTAGTACGCGAATTCCCCTCCTTCTACCCGGTTGATCCCCAGCCAGAAGGCGTCTTCGCTGTCGACCTTATTCTTCAGGGGGATCAAAAACTCGTGAGTGCCCTCATCGCGTGGCATGGCCAGAACTCCGCCATCATCCCGGCACGTTGCAAAAGCTTCTTCGTATGGCTCCTTATCGCCAAACGCTTTGTAGCATTTGCGATCATATTGTTCATACCCGTCGCTGCAACCTAACACCATTACAAACAAGAAAAGCTTTTAAAAAAAGCTGACCGGGGCGCACATCGATATTTTCTTTAGTTTAAGAGCAGATACAAAATTTCCCCGTAATAGTAGTGACTTTATGCACTGCGCTACTTGTATGTATGACAATATGAATGTGAATTGGTGTTGCAGTCATCGTATTTAAGTGCCGTCAATCAACCTGTCACCCCTACTCCCCAATGGTATAGCTCAAGCTATCCAATTCATATGCAAATGATCCAACTCCATCAATCTAGCGTGGTTTGTGCATGGCCCAAGGAACCTACCAACCAAGCACCCAACCTACCTATCTACCTACCTACCTACCATTAAATCGGGCACAAAGCCGGGGAGCGCCCCAGCAAAAAAATATAAATGTGTCATTGTAAGAAGTTTTTCATGACATGCCTTCTCCTCTTCTCCCTCTACCATTTGGTCATATCAAGGACATTTAACCTCCTTGGTCATATAGGCCCCATTCCCGCTACTGTAAAATAATCCGGATCGACCCGAATAGTTAGCGATCCGACTTGATCTGGACAAATTGACCACAGTGGGAACAATCCCGATCCGATACGATTCAGCTTGATTTGGCTCAGCTTGATTTGGCTCTTCAAAGATCCACCCGGCATGCGTTTAGTTATTACCTCCCGGAATTTAAACAAGTTTATTCAATTGCAAACCACCACAGTTTAAAATATTTGCTCTACAATTAACAGGTAGCAGTTGTAGGGGGTCCTAATTTTAACCTATGTTCGATGTAAACACACATACCTTGGTATGGTAGTTTAACCAAAAACCCGCGTGAGTATATTGACAGATAGAGATAACAACGAGCACAGCTGTGTATTTGACTTCAGTAGTGCAGCGACTTGCTTATGCGTAAAGCGTAATGGTTTACGAAACTTACGGCAGGTTTTTTGGTCATTTTGCCGGTGGAAAGCGTTTTATCACAACAGGGGTTCACTAATTCTGACCTGGTAGACACGGGGCGATCATTGTAGATAATTTAGTACTTAGTAATTAAAATGCGCAATTTTTCTGTCCTAAACATATTCTCGTTGAACCATTACTCGACTTGCTCTAAAGCGGCTTTTTCAAAATCAAAATTGCATTTTTAACATGCTTGTCAACCCTCCAAAAGGCGTCGAATTCAAACAAATTGTTCACTCGTCTATTGTCGACGTGTACTAACTCGATTACAAAAGTTAGTCCATTCCTGTAGGTATTTATTGGCACATTATCATATAGCAGGATGGCGTTGAGCAATCAGAAGCCCCCATTCCATATTGATTAAGTCACATGTAGCATGATACAAGTATTGCAACATCATCCCGAATGTGCTTTTTACACTCTTTACTGTGTAAGTTTGGATGGTGCTTGGATAGGCTATATGATAACAGCGTTAATGTCCCACCCTTTATCGGTGAATATGGTGTGATAAAGCTTGGCAGTTGCTATAACCACCTCATAAAGCCACCTCGTTCACTGCGCTCACTCGGTGGCTTTATTCGGTGGTTATAGCAACTGCCAAGCTTTATCACACCATATTCACCTCGGGGTGAGTCATTAACCCTTAATTATAGCCCTGCATAACGCCGCAACAATTAGGGGTAGATCGGAATTAGGGCAACCCTGTCCAAATCATGAGATATCAAAACCAAACGTTCTACTCCAGTACCGTAGCAAACTGCTGAAGGGAGTTAACACCAATCCACTTACGAAATATCAAAATAATGTCTAACCCTTACCGAGTTATGCTGTTGACAGACAGACAGACAGACAGACAGACACACAATCAAGCCAGCAAAAGAAGCGACGAAAACATAACCTTCTTGGCGAAGGTAATAAACGACAAAATACGTACCACAGTCGACATTTTCAGGGGAGTCACACTGATCCGTCTTCTCGTTGTAGTAAAGATCTTCTGGACAGTCCATGAGGTAAGCGATTCCATTACTGCAGGAGTAAATCCTGGTGCACTCATCTGGGTCGGGGTAGTTACCATTCGGCAATCCTTCACAGGGATCATCGACTGTTGGAACAAATAAAAAATTTGTATCTGTGTACGTAGAAATTATTGACTACAGATACGTCGATGAAGGTTAGACATCCAGGTAATAAGATACGCCAAAAAATAGTTACTCAAGCAACTGGATATGATTTTGGAACGTCAGACGTTTCAGCTAGTATCCACTAGCTATCGTCAGTGACTGAAGAAGACTGAAGCAATGCATTTTTATAAGCACTAACTATTGATTGATATGTAAATAACATGAAGACAATCTTGGAAGTCGAAGAAGGAACAAAAGTCAGACAAGCCCAGCCCCGAGGACAGACAACACTTAAGCTGCCTGTTCTGCATAACAGGAGCTTTCTGCCTAATTTGCATTATCTTGTCTTGACTTGTCTGACTTTTGTTCCCTCTCCTTCTTGGTTGGTGGGAGCGACTGTATAGGAGCGGACGTAAACTAACCAGGATGGTACCCAGGCTAGATTAATCCTGCTACAATGCATTGTTTACATGTACGTCTATAACGTTTGAATAAATTTCAAAGATCCTGTGCATCTGCTTCAATATTTCTTATGTTTTTTTCTATTCATGCGAGTGTACTAGCTAAGTGCCGTGTTGCATACAACAATTGTTTCCGTATTCCCCTTAAGTTGCCAAGACGTTGTAGTGCTAGCTCAATGTTTGTACACCTCTCGACCGATACATTTGATGCGAGACGCAGGAAATTGTGTTATGCCTTCATCAATAGACTCTACACCTCCAACAATAGTATCATATCCGGTCTTTTGACGTCTGACTGTCTATTCAGGAACTCGTATTTTAAAAATGTGTACAAACTGTTGTATGCTTAGTATTTCTGTGGTTTTATGTCTATATTGTACTATGGGGATAACCTGAAATAAAGTCATTCATCATTTACCACCTCTTTTTTGCCACTTACATATATTAGAAGTAACATATGTTGGATTGTCCGTTCATCTAGGTAAAAAAGGAACAATTACTAGATCATCCCTTATTCCAAGTTGTGTGCAAGCGTTCAGAGCAAAAGGATACTAGGTAGTAATAATATGTCTGGCAATAAAACAAGTGGCAAGATAAAGGACCTCAACAGAAAAGAAACTGTCATCTACTCACCTGATCTGGACATTGTTTTGGTAGGTACTGGGGCAGGTGTACGTGTCTTTCCTTTCACGGTTGTCGCTGATAAATAAAACATACAAAGGGATGTTACATTAAAAAACAACGTATACAAAGCGTAAGGTGCATTAACCCTCAACAGAACACCTTCCCGGACTGATTAATATGTACACCTGGGGTCCGCGCGGACCCCAAAAAGTTTTTTTTAGAAATTATCAACATGCAACCAGCTCATTTGTTTTGCAAATTGATGTATGAACCTCTATGTCCACATTACATACAAAAATCATACATTTTGAACTTTTCCTATTCTTTGGTGAAGAAAAGAAATACCAAATCTTTAAGCCCTATTCAGACTGAAGGGGCTTTTGAGGCCCAACTTTGATCTTAGATAGCGCTTGAACGGCTTGCGCTAGAAGCATCAAATTTGGTGACCTTTCCTAAAATGTCTGAGAAAAAGTTGATATTAGTTTAGTACTATAGCACGTTAATGTGTTTTTTGTGTTGCCATGACAACGTGTTTCTGACAAGCAGTTTTTTTTAAATATCAGTAATTTTGGTTTAAACATAAAAAATTTCTGGGTTTTATATCAAATTCAACATCCTTTCTAACATCCATGACATCTTACATAATTCAAGATTATCCAATATGGCGGACCGTATTATTAGCTATGACGTCACATGACGTCATAAGTACACCAAAGTTGTCAAAATTTAATTCTATTACTTCACCACTCTATGAAAATTTGGTGGCCATACAATAAGTGCATAAAAACATATAAAAACGGAAATAATGTTATGTGTAAGAATTACAGTGTATCCATTACGATCGAAAGCCGACTGGGGTCCGCGCGGACCACAAAAGAAAATCAGATATATTTTTTTTATGAATGGGGGAAATGGAGTTTTCTGCACTGTATTGAGGGACATCTTTGTGGGTGACAATAACTAAGAATTTCAGAAAAAAACTTAAGAAACAAAAAAGATATTACAGAATATAAAGTGCTGGGGTCCGCGCGGACCCCAGGTGTACTGTTTAGGGTTAAATTGCATTTGAAGGAAATATTACAACTACTATGAACAAAAATTATGGGGTTTTAATATCCCTGTATATGTACTAAAGTAAAATTTAAGAGCGATTACAACACATACTGAAAAACTAGAGGACGTACCGCATGTGGCAACATCCTCCCATTCACATCGCAAGGTTCTGATGTCAAACAGTAGACCATCTGGACAGGAGAAGCTCGACGCTATTCCATTGCTGCACATGTAAAATTTGGTGCAGTTCTCAAGGTCGGGGTAGTTGCCATTGGGCAGATCTTTGCAGTTATGTCCTATTCAAACCAAGTTCAATATGTTTAGACATTATCGTTTTATAATGCCTACTGGAATAACTGCCCCACGAATTGGAGAAAAACATTTCCGTATTATCTATAGTAAATCTTCTTTTTTCATCGTATACATATAAACGATCTGCCCAATTGTAAACAGTCATGTAGGGTGGCTATGTATGCAGACGATACATTTCTTTACTTCTCACACCGTAGCATGCAGACAATACAAGACACGCTTTAGAACTATTCTACCCGGTTAGTACAGTGGTTCCTCGCAAAAAGTATTTCCTTAAATCCATCCAAATGCAAGTCAATGCTGGTTGGTTCGCAAAGGTCCAGAGTTGTTGGCCAACGCTTACAACTTAGGCTAACCGGGACAGAATTGGAGCAAGTGGACACGTTCAAGTATCTGGGTGTTGTGCTTGACAATGCCCTACTCGACCACTTTCTTCATGTGCCAAAGAAGCTATCTCAAACTAGAGTTTGGCGATCTCATACCTCCATGACTGGTTTAGTGCTTTCGAAAATCTTATGCATGGTGATGACCACCTGTAAATGGCTTACATTTACAATCCTGCTCATTAGCAAAATTTGTATACAAATTATTCACATAGCCCCTACGGCCTAATATGCAACACACTGGTGAAATTCTTTGGCATGGACAATGTATAGTATTGTTGGTTATATACAAGCACTCCCTCTGACATACCTTTGACAAATCATTTTAGCCGTCAAAACTGATTAATATTTCACTGAAATCATGAAATTTGCATATATTATATCAGGTAATCATATTACACCAAATGACAGGGTTATCTTAAGAAATAAGGCCATTTTGTTTGCAAATCGAGTGCCATTATCATTATTATTTACATCATTTGTCATATTGATTTAATTTGCTTCCTGTACTTTATTGGTCTGTTCCGTTCCTTTTATTATAACTACCCTTTCATTGTACTTACTTTACTTTATACTTTTCCTTTTATTATCATATAATGTTATGTATAAGTATGTAAGTATGTCACAGGGAGCTTTGGAAAGCGCCAACGAGACAATATGCTAACCCTGTATAAATAAATAAAAACCAGAATTCGGAGATCTCATACCTTTGTGAAATATATGAGTTTTTGTAAATGATTTTATACAGTACACTACAGTAAAGAACAAAAAAAATGTAACAGATGTTTATGTTTTCAAACACACAGCTGATACGGTAGCACCTTTGACCTGGAATAGGTCGCCTATTCCACTGGAAGAAGCTCATTAATCAAACCGGTCACAGCTGCTGTTTTGTTACATCCGCACATCTGTTCCCTGCCTTGCACTAGTACAAAGGAGACCCCTCATTAATTATGCAAATTAAGTCATCCTTTGCATAATTTGCATTTTATCATGTACAACTCTCTTACAGCTACCTACCTACCAAAAATGATGAAAATACGTTGTTCCTACCTGGACTTATTGGCTTTTAAAGATTTCGCCAGAAAGTTCCCTGCAGTTCCAGAACAAACTGCTAGGAGGACCAAACCCACACCACTTATTCCTGAGAGAATGAGCTATCTGTCACCAAAAATCAAGACCACAGCATGTTCAGGAGAAAAGATACAAAAGCCGGAAATTCTGCTGCAGTACCAAGGTCATCCACCAGGAGCCCCATACTTGACCTTGACCTTCGTCCTCCTATGACCTACCAGCATACCAAGTATCATCACAATCCATAAAGGCGTTATGGAGTTATGAAGTTACAAACGTGCGGAAACACACACACACACACACACACACACACACTCACACACTCACACACACACACACACACACACACACACACACACACACACACACACAGACGCGCCAAAAAACAAAACCTCCGTTTTCATGGAGGTAATAAATGAAATAAATGACTAAGTCACCAATTTTTCCCTTTTTTACCTATACAATGTACCTTGTATACAGATTTACATTTTCTCACCATTTTATCAATTTCACCTTGTGCCTGGTGTAAATACGAATTCCATGGTCAGTTATAGTTGATAATGAGTTTGTTTCCCTACCTTGTAACGGTTGCCTCGTTTTTGGACGTGGCGCATGCGTCGGGACTGAAGTTCGCTTCGGAGGTGTTCGCCTCGTAGGATTCCGCCTCGGGGGTGTTCGCTTAGCGGGTGTTCGCCTCGGCATTATCGAAGTCACCAGGGCCACACAAAGCAGCGTGATGACTACTAACAGGAGGTACCTCATGGTGTCCTCTGGGCTCCTAGTTAACCTGCCAATGAACATACGGAATTCAATTTAAACTAGAGTTAGGCAATCTCATACCTCCATGACATGTTTATTAGTGTTTTCGTACATATTTTGCATGGCGATGACCACCTGTAAATGGCTTACATTTACAATCCTGCTGATAGACAAAATTTTTATTTGCTAATAGAATACCTAGTAACATGCAACACACTGGTGAAATCCTTATCATTTGGCATGAACAAGGTATGATGCTGTTGGGTTGCAAACACGACCTCTGACATATCTTTGCCAACTCATGTTTGCCTTCCAAGCTGACTAATAATATACACTTTTCACTGCGAATATGCAAATTATGAGAGGCTATTTGCATATATTGAATCAGTTCATCATCCAATGATAGGGTTATCTTAAGAAATAAGGCTATTTTATCGTTTCCTCATAAATCAGGCAAATGAGGTACTGATTTTAAGAAATTAAGTTAAGTGATGTTCATCTTCACTGGACTTCCAATTATAGCAAGTATTAAATTCCCAACAGTTACCACCATAAAACTGTACCAGTATCCCATTAATTATGCAAATTAGGTCTTCATTTACATAATCAATACCTGCTAATAATCTTGTCGCTCTCAATTACATATGTCTTAAGAGTTTTATAGCCCAAATATGAAATACAGCAGATTTATAGAATGTTCTCATTAACCATGCAAATTAGATCCCGATTTGCAATATTGCATTTGAATTATGTCCAGCATCACGTAAGCTATATACATACTAAAAATTATGATGATCCATCAAACGGTTGTTCAGTTATCCTCTCTTGATGATTTTCAAAGAAATCATCCTGCAGTTCCAGAATAAGCTGCTAGGGGGGCCCAACCAAACGCGGCCTATTGCAAGGGCGGTGAAGAAATTATCTGTAAATTCACTTCAAGAAAACGACCTTAAACTTGACGCGGCCTATTGCTTTGGTGGAGAAAAATATTATCGATAAATGTACTGCAAGAAAAATACGACGAACTTGACTATTGCCTGTGTGTTGAAGAGATTAGCAGTAAAATTACTGCAAGAAAAGTCGAACGTGACGCGGACTATTGCCGGTGTGGTGAAGCAATCGGTAAATTTATTGCATGGAAGACAACGAACTTGACGCGGACTATTGCAAGGGTGGTGAAGAAATTTCCTGTATATTTACTGCAAGAAAAAGTAAACAAACTTGACGTGGCCCATTGCCTGTGTGGTGAAGCAATTAATCATCGGTAAATTTACTACATGGAAGCAAGGAGGTTTAAAATCAAATGATGGAAGACAACGAAATTGACGCGGACTATGGCCGGTGTGGTAGAGAAACTATATGGGTAAGTTTACTGCGAGAAAAAAGACGACGAACTTGACACGACGCATTGCTGGTGTGGTGAAGAAATTATCTGTAAATTTACTGCAAGAAAAAGAAGATGAGCTTGAAGCGGCGCATTGCTGGTGTTGTGAAGAAATTATCGTTAAATATACTGCAAGAAAAAGACGACAAGCATAGCGCGGCCTATTGCAAGGGTGGTGATGAAATTAGCGGTAAATTTACTACAATTAAAACACGACAATCTTGACGCGGCTTATTGTCTGGGTGGTGAAGAAATTATCGGTACATTTACTGCAAGAAAAAGAAGATGAGCTTGAAGCGGCGCATTGCTGGTGTTGTGAAGAAATTATCGTTAAATATACTGCAAGAAAAAGACGACAAGCATAACGCAGCCTATTGCAAGGGTGGTGAAGAAATTATCCGTAAAGTTACTTAAAAAACGACGTTGAACTTGACGTGGCCTATTGCCTTGGTAGTGAAAAATCGGTAAATGTACTGCAAGAAAAAGACGACGAACTTGAAAGGGCCTATTGTCGGTGTGTTGAAGAAATTATCGTTATTTACTGAAAGAAAAAGACAAACGTGACGCGGCCAATTGCCTTGGTGGTGAAGAAACTATCGGAAAATTTACTAAAAGAGGAAAACGACACACTTGATGCGGCCTATTGCCGTTGTAGTAAAGAAATTATCGGTAAATTTATTGCAAGAAAAAGACGACGAACTTGACGCAGCCTATTGCCCGTGTGGTGAAGAAATCATCGGTAAACTTACAGCAAGAAGTCTATAGCCTTTACTTTTAAAATCCTTCGGTAATTTCTTACGACAAAAAGACGCAGCAGTGAAAATATCGAGAAAATAGTGGCAACAGGCTTGACTCGGTCTGATGCCGACTAGGTTAAGAAATTATCCGTAAATAATGAGAAATGACGTGACTCGACTCGTGGTGCGATGCCAAAGCTGTCGGTAACTCAGATCACACGAATCAAAATTGAGAACGGATTCGACGCGGCCAGTTGCCGTAGAAGTTAACACTATTTTCTGTTAATTTTGCAACAAATGATGTGGGCAGACTCAATTCAGTCTGATGTCGATTCAGTTAAGAAACTTGATACAAATGATTGGCAAATGATACAAAAAAGTTGACGGCTAAATTGACCTGCCCTGTTCCCGCTGCGGGCAAATAATTATAACTTATTGGTTAATTTTTCGGAAAAAAATGACAAGTCCCAGTCTGATGCCAGTGCGCTTAAAACATTTGCGCTGCAAA